GGGGCCAAGTTTGAGACACCGGGCGATGGGGTCGCCTGCCTCTTCTCTCAGACTCGCCCTAACTGCAGGGGTGGGATGGGGGGATGGGATCCGAGGAACCTGGAATTTACCACCAGTTTTCGAAGCTCCCTCACACTCTATATGCAGCTTTACAAGAAGAAGCAAATACTCACTTTTCGAGGGCTTTCTCCCAGCCATCGATTCAGACTCAGAGCGGCCCTACGGGACAGGATGGAACTGCTCCCGTGGGTTTCGGAGACTGTCACTGTGTGTGGGAGTAGAAAGCCGAGTCTTTCTCCCGCGGGTGGTTTTGAACTGCTGATCTCACAGGTTAGCAGCCTAATGTGCTTGTTGAATTTGAAAAGAAAAGAAACGAGATGTCTTCCTATTTATCCCACTGGAAGGAGGGATGGGAAAGGGTAGTCATGGAATTTCATTTTTAAATGTGTTTTCTCAGATCGGCCGTGCTCTGTGGATACTTGTAATGGACATTTTTAATTGGCAGTCTATCAGTTTGCTAAATAGTATCATCCTATCACTTTAAAGTTTTAACCAATTAAGTGCACTGCCCCTTTAGATGCAAATGGATAACGTTTAGGAACAAGGAAACATAATTGCTTTCTCCTAAACATCTGGATATCAATATGCCATCCCTCATTTTTACCACTTCCTCCTGGTACCTTTGCCTTAAAAACCCCACTTGCCTTGGAGTTGATCGCAACTCCCAGCAGCCTCTAGGACAGAATAGAACAATCCATCTCCTGGAGAGCCTTCCTCTTTTCTGCTGCCCTTCTATTTTACAACCCGATGTCCCTGTGCAGGGATGGCCTCTCCTGACGACTTGTCCAAAGTACTTGAGATCAAGTCACTCCATCTTTGCCTCCAGGGAACATTCTGGCCGTACTTCTTCCAAGACAGATGTTTGTGCTTTTGCCAGTCCCTGGTACTTTCAATATTCACCACCACCACCCTAATTCAAATGTATCCATTCTGCTTCTGCCTTCTTTATCCAGGGTCCAACTTTGACAGGCGTGTGGGCAATTGAGAATACCACAGCTTGGGCCAGGTGTACTTTAGTCCTCAAAGCCACACCCTTGCCTTTCAGCACTCTAAAAGAGGTCTTGTGCACCTGGAGCTCCACATGTAGCGGGGTGCTGGATCTTGGTGTCCTGTGTGTGCAGATCCAGCACTCACAAGGCCTGAGAGTGGGCGCCTCCTTAAAGTTTGCTCCTTAGGTGCCGAAGCTGCCCCTGCCTGCCCCTGGGCCCTGAGCACAAGAATGTGGACCTCTATCATTTCTGAGTGTGTGTGTGTGTGTGTGTGTGTGTGTGTGTGTGTGTGTGTGTCCACTACGCAGAGAAAGGATCAGGGCAAGGCTGGGGAGCATCCAGTCTGAGGGCCATCTATGGCCTGGAATATCAGCAATACCGGCTAACATCGCACACCTCACCAAAGAGAAGCCATCCCCGCCTTGATGTTAGGGCTGAGTCAGCTAAATGTCTGGCTGCTGTGGCCTGGGAATGATGTAATCAATATCCAAACGACCCTTGGCAGAAAAATGGTTTCCCCACCCCTGGTGTGTTAGACAGGGTTCTCTAGAGAGATTAAACCAAATTCCTGATAAT